ATCTAGTAATAACGGTGTTAAGATTTAAAGAAAAAAATGAAGCCATCTTTTCATCATGATGCTTCGTTTTTTTGCTTAGGGGGAGGTGTTGCAAAGCTGGGTAGAGTAATTGTGGATTGGAAGGCAAGATATTAGAATTTGATGTTTCTAAAATAATGGAGGAGAAGAGTGCTTGGTCCCTTTAAAAGATGGTGTGTTTTTTCTAGGCTTCGAGATTAACACAAAATGTGCAGGTGCACAGACAGCTCCTGAAATTGAAACATTCTATCAAAAGGCTGTGTGGTTAGGAACCCAGGCGGTAGTTTGTTTTGTTATTAAGGCAATCAGTTTGAAAATCAGCCAATTAGTTTAAACCAGGCACTCAGAAACTAAAAATCAATTAAATTTAAATCTGATGGTTTTGACAACCTAGGGCCAATCCTATTGTAAGAAATTAATAGGTCATCAAGAGTATAAAAGACAAGGGCATTTGAAAATCAGTGTGAGAGCAAATGCCATCTAATAGAGGTAACAGCCCATTAGCTAAAGAGAAAAATCACTGGCTCGCACAGAATTCCATAAGCGCTGATTAAAGGTACATCAGCATTCTTAACTAATATTCTTCACAAAAGAATTCAACTGAGAGAGGCATTCCTGATACAAGAATTCAACGGAGAAAGGTGTTCCTGACTGAGGATCAGCAGAGAGGGCACAGAGCATTCTGGAAGATGTATCCTGGCTGTAATTTTGAGAGATTAAGTTTTAATTTATTTGATTGTTATTTTGGTTGATATAAGTGGGACTTTTATATATTGGGCAGCATGCCAATAGAATTTTGTTTGATTCAGGATTATTTAGTAGTTAAAGGGGAATTGTTTGGTTTGTTCATAGTTCTGTTAATTTGTTCATTGTTAGAGTTAGATAAATAAATTGTTACTTGTTGATTATAGAGTGAGTGAAACAATTTGGTTTTATTTAACCACTCCTTTATAATAGATTGGGAGGTGAAAGACAAGTTATACCAGTTTTCACCCTTCTTTTAACAGATTATGAGGCGAAGCGAGCCTCTCTGGGCATTTTGGTTTCAGTTATCAGACCTTCACTCCATAAAAATGAACATTGAAGGAAAAATCACCTTTCACATTGAGGAGAATCCATATATGTGTTCTGTGTGAGGATGAGCGTTCAGCTGCTCATCTGGCCTGTCAAGACACCAGCACAGTGACACTGTGGAGAAACCGGAGCAATGTTGGGAATTTGGGAAGGGATTCATATCCCCTTTCGAACTCATCAATACAGTCACACTGGAGAGAAGACATTGACATGCTGTGTGTGGGTAGGAAGGGATTCACTCAGTCATCCACCCTGCTGAGACATCAGCGAGTTCACACTAGAGAGAGGTTGTTCCCATGATCTGCCTGTAGAAAGGAATTCACTCGGTTATTCATCCTGCTGGAGCACCACACTATTCAGACAGGAGAGAGACCATTTAGTTGCTGTGAGTGTGGGAAGGAATTTACTCAGTCATCCACCCTTCTGTACATCAACGGGTTCACACTGGAGACAGGCTGTTCACTTGCTCCGAGTGTGAAAAGGGAATTACTCTGTCATCCAATCTGCAGAGATATTGGTGAGTTCATGTTGATAAAAGGCATTTTAAATGTTCAGACAGTGGAACTGGCTATAAAATTTCTGATGTCCCAGCAAAATTGCTCACACTGAGGAGCGACTGTTTGGGTTCAAACACTTAATAAACACCAGCAAAATAAAGACATTAGGGAGAAATTTTCTGAAGAAGGCTCCAGACCCGAAACGTCAGCTTTCCTGCTCCTCTGATGCTGCTTGGCCTGCTGTGTTCATCCAGCTCTACACCTTGTTATAGGGAGAAATTATTTGCCTGATCTAAATGTGGGAAGGGTTTCACTCAGTCTTCCTACCTTCTTGGACATAGCAATTTCATAAGAAACAAAAGCAATTGCATTTTGCTGCTAATCACAACTAGACAGCACCACATACATTGGGGTCTCTTTCTGCTGATATTAATATATTACAGCCTAGTGACAGTGTTAATGTTCCAGATAAAAGCCAAATAACTCAATTTTATGCTAAGATATACAATATTGAATTGTTTGATTACATTTAATTTTTTTGAAGGATTTCCCCTCTTCCATCTTTGAATTTCTACAGTGCAGATCGAGGCTATTCAGCCCATCAAGTATGTACCAACCTTCCAAAGAGCATCCCACCCAAACCCATTGCCCAACCCTATGTTTACCATGGCTACCATACAATCTAGCCTACACACCCCTTGACATTTCAGGGCAATTTAGCATGGCTAATCTACTAACTTGCACATCTTTGGTCTGTGGGAGAAAACTGGAGCACCTGGAAACCCACGCAGGCACTGACCAAATGTGCAATCTCCACACAGACAGGCACCCAAGGTTGAAATTGACCCAAGGCCTCTGGCACTGTGCACCATGCCATCTTAATGTCCAAGTACTATGAGAAGCTCAAGGAGCTTCTTTATCACTAAGACCATCCAATTACCTGTCTCTGCTGCATCTCTTTTTCTTTCCCTCCACCCTTCCACACCCATTGAGCCAAATTCTCTCTAAAGAGCCTCCTTGAGCCACAGAAGAACCCACTTTAGCTTCCCTCTCATCTACTCACATCTGCTCAGGGCTCAACTTGTCCATGAGAGCACCTTTCTGTCCCATTGAACCTCTACTGTCTAAACGGTGAGTCACCTGACTTCCCTTTTTGCCAACTTTGTTAACTATTCTCTCTCTCCAAGCCCTATCCCACAGTCCTTTTAAGATTACCATCATCGCGTACTCCATAAACTCAACCTTGTTAATCATTATTCTTTCAGGGACATTAGTATTATCGGCAAGGCCAGAACTTGTTGCCCATGCCCAGCTGCCCTCGAACTGGGTGGCTTGCTCACCTGGTCCAGAGGCATGTTAAGAGTCCACTACATTATTGTGGATTTGAAGTCACATGTGGACAAGGCCAGCAGATTCCATTTCTTAAGGTGGATTTTAACAATAATGGTCACAATCATAGACGCTGGCTTTTTATTAAAGCAAAATACTACAGATGCTGGAAATCTGAAAAGAAACCAGAAAGTGCTCGAGAAGTTCAGCATGTCTGGCAGCATCCGTGGAGAGAGAAAAACACAGTTCACACTTTGAGTCCAATGACTTCTTTAGAAAAGGGATGATGTGGAGGTGCCAGTGTGACTTGGGTGGACAAAGTCAGAAGTCACACAACACCAGGTTATTTGAAATCACAAGCTTTCAGAGCGGTGCTCATTCATCGGGTAAAGTGGAGGGAAGCGCACAGGCACAGAATTTATAGGCAGAGAGACTGTTGCAAGATAATTCCAAGTAATGTCGATATGCGTGATCTTCTTGGAGATCCTCTCCACTCTGAGCTGGCAGTTTGTGGTGTCGATGGTAACCATGATGTGGATCTTGCAATGGTCTCTCCGCCTACAAATTCTGTGTCCGTGCGCTTCCCTCCACTTCACCTGATGAAGGAGCAGTGCTCCAAAAGCTTGTGATTTCAAATAAACCTGTTGGACTGTTGGTTGCGTGACTTCTGACTCAGAAAAAGGAGTCACTGTACTCGAAATATTAACTCTGTATTTCTCTCCATCTGCTATGCTTCTCCAGTACTTTTTTTTTGTTTTTATTCCAACTTTGTATATACCTGATTTATTAATTGAATTTAGATTTCCATAAGATCATAAGAAATAGGGGTAGGCCATTTGGTCCCTCACACCCGCTCTGCCATTCAATAGGATCACAGCTGATCTGACATTCCTCGCCTCCACGTTCCAGTCCTTTCCCCATTCACCAACCATCATGATACAATTTGAATATATATTCTCTGAAGATGAACCTGGAGCTCTGAATTACTAGACCATTATACATATAGACCGCTATATATAGACCACTATACATCCACCATGTAAGTAATCAGAGTTTAGTGAATGCCAGGACGCTGAATAAATTTTAGGAGATAGCCAGATTATTAATTAGTAATGGGTTGTAGGATTATGGACAGCGGGCAGGAAAGTGGAGTTGCGGCCAGATGAGATCAGCAATGATTGTATTGAAGGAAAGCAGGCTCTAGGGGATGAATCCTCCTGCTTCTAATTCGTATGTTCTTTTATGTCACTTGTGATTCTACAGGAACTCCGTTATCCACCACTAACCAGAGGGAGAGCAAGCTTGTCGCCGTCTCAAGGCAACTATTCAGGAAATAATATCGATCAACAAACGATCAGACCGCAATCGGCTGCTCACCCGACAAACTTGTGAATTCTACGATTCTATGTAACTGAACTTTAACAACAAATATTCTGTTATCATTCCATCACGACTATTCTTACGGAGAAAAATGATGTCATGGACACGATGGGCTGAAGCGCCTGTTTCTATGATTTCATAAGTCCTCCTAATTATAACAGCCTTTCTGAATAAGATCGAGTGAAAGCCTTATGGTCCATAATCATAGCTCACAGAGGGGAAGAAAATCATCTGCTCATTCCAATTAAAAATCTGATCAAATAGCGGAGCAGAACCATGGCAGTGCTCAGTTATTAACTAATTGAAACAGATTCATTGGCAAGATTGGTTTGCTGCTCCATTAATGCAGGGTAGATTTGCCGGGAGGTAGACTCTGATCTTATTCATTCTGCACATCAGTTTGCGGGATCTTCTTCCCTTCCCTAGGTTTGGACACCGATTAACTAAGAGTCAGTTTCTTACGGGACGTGTTTCTCCAATCCCTCCACTGATTTCACATCCATTAAACCAAGGAAGGCGCTCCGAGAGCTCTGAGTCTTAATGAAGTCCAACTCATAAACTGCAGCTCCGTATCAATGGGGGCAACGTGGGCGAGAATACAGGAACATGTGGTCAGCTGGTCCTCCAACCAATCGGAGTGAAGAAGGACGGGGCCATTAGGCAACTCGACCATTCCGACTGGAGCTTCTGCGCACGTGCAGTGGCACAGAGTCGGAAGTCTCGGACGAGTGCGAGACATAATAGGATAGTAAGGTGGGAGTGACAACGGAGAGCCGGAGAAAAATGGAGGCAGTGTGGGATTAGAGGTTTCATGAATATCCAATATAGGCCACTAGACCTGAATTAGAATTTTCCGGTCCTGCCTTCGCAGCAAATAGGAAAACGGCTTGGGCCTCAGGCAATGACGGGTCCTAGTACAGTCGCCATTTTTATTGGGTGCAATATTGTGCTAGTTGTATGCCTGGTCGCCATCTTCTTAGGGGGCAGGGTACATGCGCAGCCCTCGTTTGCTAGGGGGTTATAGGGAGGAATTACACATAACGAACTCAGATCAAGCGATTTATTTACTTGTTCTGGATTATTGTCCTTCACTGGCAGTGAATTTTTTTTCTTGTAAAGTTATTTTATAGGACATTGAATGTGAAGGATATGCAGATAGGAAATTCAAACCAAACAGCACATCAAGATCTGACAGTCACTTGATTCATTAGGATCCGACTTACATCATTGGCTTATTTGGACGAAAAAAAAAGGTTTGTCTGTTGTGTCGCTGTATCAAAGAAATTTTGCACATCTGTTTCTTTTCAAAACACGAAATATGCATCCTCTACTCCTTGTGACATCATGTATCAGAAACCGTTTTCTTTGTCTACCTTGTCTAACCTTGTTGAAATCTTGAATTCTCTACCAAATCTCCCCACTCCTTTCCTTCGAGCAGAGCTATGTCAGCTGCTCCAAATCAACCTTGGAAGTGAATTTCCCCTTTTCCAGAAACTGTGGCTTAGCAGTAAGCAGTGCTGCCTCACAGCGCCAAGACCCAGTTCGATTCCACCCTCGAGACTGTGTGGAATTTGCACATTCTCCCGCATCTATGTGGGTTTCCTCCCGCGGTACAAAGATGTGCAGGTTAGGTGGATTGGCCATGCTAAATTGCCCATAGTGTCCAAGAATGTGTAGGCTAGATGGATTAGCCAAGGGAGGTGCATGGATAGGGTGGGTCTGGGTGGAATGCTGTTTGGAAGGTCAGTGTGGACTTGTTGGGCCTGTTTCTACACTGTAGGGATTCTGTGAACTCTGGTAAATCTCCTCTGGGTTCTGTCATGGATCCTCACATCCTCCCTGAAGTGTGGTGACCTGAACGGGACAGAATACTCGAGTTATGGCCAAATCAGAGCTTTATGAAGTATTAGTATTTTTTCTGTGTTTCTATTTCTGAATCTCATGATCCCATGAAAGTTAGCTCACTGTTCTTCCACTATGACCTAGCATCTTTTAAACACAGGGACAAAAACAAAGATGCTGGAAAAGCTCAGAAAACAGAGTTAACGTTTTGGGTCTGGTGACAATTCCTCAGAACCTTTTATGGATATGTGCACATTAGCCCCCAGGCACCTGTGAACTTGCATGCTCTTTCAATCTGTGCCATTCAGTATATGTTAATTCTCCCCCAATGTGCCTCTCAAAATGCATCACCTCTGTGCATTCCAAATAGGAGTCATATTCATCTCAAAACATTAACTCTGTTTCTATATCTACAGATGCTGTCAAACTCCATTGAGGTTTTCCACCACTTCTAGTTTTTAACTTAATGTGAGGGATATAGTTCTGGAATTTAAAAAGACTAGGAGATGATTTGATCAACGTTTTCATTCTATTAGTTGAAACTGGTAAGGTCAATAGGAACTATTTCCATTGTTTGGGGAAGGCCATGGCTGAAAACTGAGCTGAGCCTTTCAGGAGCAAATGAAGAAACACTTCTCCAGGTAAAGTCAGAACAGATTTGGAAATGTATTCATGAAATGGAAGTTCATGTGAGGCCAGTATTAAGTTTAAAGTTGACATTGATAGATCTTTGTTAACAGAAAGGGTGAAGAGGCAAGGGTCACAGGTCAGCCCTGACCTCATTATGTGGTGGGACAGGCTCAAGTACCTAACTGGCCATCTCCTAGAATCTTAGATGGAAGGAAGCATTTCAACCCTTTATGCCATGCTTTCTTTCAAAGAAGTCATGTTTAGTCTCTCTCACACATTTCTTTTTACAACCCTGTTATGTTCTAGCTCTCTTTCAAAATTAGATATAAAGTTTCCTGCACCTTTTTCTGGTCAAATATTGCTGATCCTGACAATGCTTTCTTGCTAAAAAAAAAATTGGTGAATTCCACACTGAATCTAGAAGTTTATAAACTGAAAGGTGAGCTGCTGTTCCTTGAGCTCCCATTCATTCAAATAGTATAGGAACCTGAAGATTAAGAGGTCAGAGTTGGAGTGGACCATAGAATTAAAATGACAAGAGACTGGAATCTCAGGATTCAGCTCGCAGACTGAGCAGAGGTTGTTCCATTAAGTGATCACCCAGTCTGTGATTGCTGTTCACAATATAGAGCAATCCTCATTGTGAGCACTGAATACTGTAACTAGGCTGCAAGAAGTACAAATAAATCACTGTTCAATTTCAACTGTGCAAATCTTGAGAACAGCCTGAAAGAGGGTAATTTATTGAAAGGGTAAATGCTACAAAATAAGACAAATTGATTGCTAGGATATGCAATTCTTTTCCAGTTACAGGATTTTTAAATATCAGCAGAAATAAACTCCAACTGTCAGAGTGAACACAGTTTATTCCTGGATATTATTTACAGCAAAATCCAACCCCAGCTGTCAATGGTAAATTTGTTGCTATCCACTTAGGTCGGATGTTTGAATAAATACTTTCCAACACTCTGAACAGTAAATAGTCTGTCTCGAGTTTGCTGTGTCTTGGAGGTAACACGCCAACAAAACATTGGAGAAATTCAGCAGGTTTGCCAGAATCTGTGGAGACAGAAACAGAGCTATTTCTGGGGTTCAGAAAAGAGTCTGATATGACTTTTCTTCAGAACCCCAAGAATAACTGTTTTAGTCTCTGCAGATTCTGGCAGACCTGTTGAGTTTCTTCAGCATTCTGCCTTTGTTTTAGATTTCCAGCATCCAGCCACAATATTTTAACCTTATTCCTGTGTCTTGGATTTTATGGCTTCACCGGGTACCAGTTAACTTGTCTTTCTAGATACGAGGAGGTTGTAGGTTTTAGGTGGTCCTGTCCAATGTAGTTGGGGAAAATCTGTCAACTTTTCTCATCATTTTTTTGCACTTACTATCCATAAAAGACCCAAGTCTGGTGCGGCTCCAGACTCTGGATGGTGAAGTAGTTAGTTTTTATGATAATCCAGCTGCTTTCTTAGTCATTTTTCTTTTATTAATTTGTTTTACAGGGTATTGAAAAACGAAGATTTTGACATTAGAAATTCAAACCAAACATCACGTAAAGACCAGGCTAAAGTGCTCCATACATCAGGACCTGAATGTCATTGGATTTTGACTATGGAAAGCAAGAACACTGTTCACAGTGGGGAGAAAACATACACATGTTCTGTGTGTGGACGAAGATTCACCCGATCATCTGGCCTGTCCAGACACAAAGTCTGTCACAGTGAGGCAAAACTGTGGAAATGTCAGGACTGTGGGAAGGGATTCAGTTACCCGTCTGAGCTGGAAGCTCATCGACGCAGTCACACTGGGGAGAGGCCATTTATTTGTTCCAAATGTGGGAAGGGATTCATTCAGTCATCCCACCTGTTGACACATCAACGGGTTCACACTGATGAGAGACCTTTTAAATGCTCTGACTGTGGGAAACGTTATAAAAGTTCCAAGGAACTGATGTCCCATCAAGGTGTTCACACCGACAAGAAGCCATTCAGGTGCTCTCACTGTGGAACTGGATTCAGACGATCATCTCAACTCACTGTACACCAGCGCATTCACACTGGAGAGAGGCCATTCACCTGCTCTGAGTGTGGGAAAGGATTCATTCAGATATCCAACCTGCAGAGTCATCAGCGAGTTCACACTGGGGAGAGACCATTCATCTGCTCAGTCTGTGGGAAAGGATTCATTAATTCATCCAACCTGTTGATACATCAGCGAGTTCACACAGGGGAGAGACCGTTCACCTGCTCCACCTGTGGGAAGGGATTCATTCGATCATCGCACCTATTGAGACACCAGCGAGTTCACAAACAACTACATTGATGTGGTTTTGCTGTGATTCACATCTAGGACTAAATCATATTCTTTGGTGCCTGTTTTGACTGAAGTTAATAAAGCGCAGACAGTCAGAGGTGGACTTAAGTCAAAGAGATCAGCCTTCCATTAAATAATGTATCAATATTTTTAATGTCTTTAATAGAAGTTAGATTTCATTCCAAGAGTTCTCTCCCTCTCTGATCTCCACCATCCACACCTCCAACAATAAAAAGAGTCATAGGGTCATACAGCAAGGAAACAAACCCTTTCGTCCAACTTGTCCATGCCGACCGACTTTCCCAAAGTAAACAAGTCCCATTTGCCTGCATTTAGCCCGTGTCCCTCTAAACCTTTCTATTCATGTATCTGTCCAAATGTATTTTAAATATTGTAACTATACCTGCATCTACCACTTCCTCTGACAGTTCATTCCAGATCTGAACCACCCTCTGTATGAAAGATTTGCCCCTCAGGTCCCTTTTAAATCTTTCTCCTCTCACCTTAAAATTATTCCCTCCAATTCTGAACTCCCCTACGCTAGAGAAAAGACCTTTGCTATTCACCTTATCTATGCCCTTCATGATTTTATAAACAGTTATAAAGTCACTCTTCAACCTCCTATGCTTCAATGAAAACGTCCCGTCTTATCCAGCCTCTCCTGATAACTTAAGCCGTCCAGTCCCAGTAATATCCTTGTAAATCTTTTCTGCACCCTTTCCAATTTAATAATATACTTCCGATAGCAGGGTGGCTAGAATTGTACACAGTACTCCAAAAGTGGCCACACCAGCATCCTGTAGAACTCAACATGACATTCCTAATCTGAGCAATAAAGGAAAGCATGCCAAATGCCTTCTTTAGATCATTGAATCCCTGCAGTGTGGAAACAGGCCATTCGGCCCAACAAGTCCACACCGACCCTCAGAACATCCCACCCAGACCCATGCCCCTAATCTGCACATCCCTGAACATTATGGGCAATTTAGCATGGCCAATCCACCTAACTTGCACATCTTTGGACTGTGGGAGGAAACCCAGGCAGACATGGGGAGAATGTGCAAACTCCACACAGACAGTCGCCCAAGTGTTGAATCGAACCTAGGTTCCTGGTGCTGTGAGGCAGCAGGGCTAACCCCTGAGCCACCATGCCGCCCTAAATCACTCTGTTTACCTGTGATGCAATTTTCAAAGAACTATGTACCTAAGTCTCTCTGTTCAACAGTGCTCCCAAAGGCTCTCCCATTAACTGTGTAAGTCCTACCCTTGTTTGTGTTTTCACAATGGAACACCTCACATATACCTAAAGTCCATCTGCAACTCTTTGGCCCAATTGATCAAGATCATTTGGCAATTCTAGATAACATTACTCACTGCCGACTATATCACAAATTTTGGTGTCATCTGCAAGCTTCCTATGTTCTCTTTGAAATCTTTTATATAAGTGACAAACAACAGTGGACCTAGCACTGATCCCTGCTGAACACTGCTGGTCACAGGCCTCCAGTCTGTAAAACCATCCTTTACTGCCACCACTCTCTGTCTCCTACTGTCTAGCCAATTTTATATCCAATTGGCAAGGTCTCGCTGAATCCCATGTGATCCAACTTTACTAAACAGTCTACCACGCAAAATCTTGTCAAAGGCCATACTAAAGTCTGAGTAGACAATGTCAAATGTGAGAAGCTCAAGGAGCTTCTTTGTCACTGAGACTGAGAGAACTTATTTAGCTACCGTGCTGTCGCTGTCTCTTGCCCATGTCTACCAGGCCAAACTCTCTGAAGTTCTTCCTTGCCTAAGCCCTGAACTCACACCTTTCTCCAGTTTCACTCCTGTCTCCGGTCATGCCCTGTTGGAGTTCATGACCTGCCGTTAGCTCCTGTGACACTATTCACAATTAACCGCCAACCAGCTAAATTTCGCACGCTAGCTAAAATAGAAGCCATCTTTGCAAAACCAAAGTACTGAAGATAATAAGAGATTTGACATAAAAACTAAAAATAATAGAGAAACTCAGCAGGTTTGGCAGCATTTGTGGGGAAAGAATCAGTGTTACCATTTTGACCAGTTCTGAGGAAGGGTCACCAGACCTGAAACATTAACTTTGATTTCTCGTCACAGATACTGCCAGACCTGCTGAGCTTTTCCAGCAATTTCTGTTTTTGTTTCTTATTTACAGCATCCGCAGTTCTTGCAGTTTTTATTTACAATTTTGAGTTCAGTATGACAGTTCTTTGGAAACGTTCTGAAGAGTCTCATTGGACTTGGTTCTCTCTTCACAAACCTGCTGACTTTTTCCAGCACTTTCTAATTTTATCTCTGTTAGCTGATATTCCTAACAGTTATGACTGGTTCAGTACTAATCTTTTCACTTTCTTACTGTCATCACCCATCCTAAAAGAATCCTGACTTCAGTCTTTGCAAATTACCATCCTCTCTCTAATCTCCCTTTCCTCTCCAAAGTCTTCAAGAGTCTATTCTTGTGTGATGTAAGATGTGAGATTAATGCATATTAAAATATTTATTTTTGAGTTGTAACTTTTAAATTTGAACAAGTGGCACACAGTTTTGAGTGTCTGAAACATTGTAAGAGAAAGTCTAAAATAAAACAAAGAACAGCAAATACAGGAGATCTGAAGGTAAAACAGAAATTGCTGGTGAAATTCATCAGGTCTGGCAGCATCTATGTGGAGAAAGTGGATTTAGCGTTTCAAGTCTGGTGACTGTTCAGAAGTGTTTCCCATTTTAGCCAAAATAGAGGCTGTCTTTGCAAGAGTGAAGTACTGCAGATGGTGACCTGCTGAGTTTTGCCAGTAATTCATTTTTTGTGAAAGATTTCCTGGAGAATAATTGTTTTTATGTATATTGCCAGATTTTAACAAGCAAACAAACTAAACAGGTGTGCATTCAGCTTGTGCAATGTAGAAGGTCAGTGATTTCTTTTTCACCTTTGATTAGGGAAAACACCCATTGCTTGGGGGAGAATAAAAGGTTTTTGTTTAGTTTCAGTTGGCTGCAGGGTTTTTGTCTGAAGCTGGAAGAGTAAAGCCAGAAGTGCAGGCCAGAAGCTAGGAATAATGCGGCGAGTAACTCACCTCCTGCCTCCTCAAAGCCTGTCCACCATCTACAAGGCACAAGTCAGGAGTGTAATGGAATACTCCCCACTTGCCTGGATGAGTGCAGCCCCAACAACACTCAAGAAGCTTGACACCATCCAGGAAAATGCAGCCTGCTTGATTGGCACTACATCCACAAACATTCACTCCCTCCACCACCGATGCTCAGTAGCAGCAGTGTGTACTATCTAAAAGATGCACTGCAGAAATTCACCAAAGATCCTCAGACAGCACCTTCCAAACCCACGACCACTTCCATCGAGAAGGACAAGGGCAGCAGATACATGGAAACACCACCACCTCCAAGTCACTCACCATCCTGACTTGGAAATATATCGCCGTTCCTTCACTGTTGCTGGGTCAGAATCCTGGAATTCCCTCCCTAATAGCATTGTGGGTCAACCCACAGCAGGAGGACTGCAGCGGCTCAAGAAGGCAGCTCACCACCACCTTCTCAAGGACAACTAGGGATGGGCAAGAAATTCTGGCCAGCCAGCGATGCCCACATCCCACAAATGAATAGAAAAAGAAAGTTGCTCGAGAAAGGGAGAATATAGCTTAGAATTGCAGGTTACCTTAGTGAATATAATTTTGTTAAAGTTCTGGATCAGACATGTTTGGTTAAAAACTCTAAAGAGGTTATTTGAAACTAGGCAAATTTAAGCTTGTGTGGAGTTTAAGTTTAAGAATCTTCAAATATCTGTTATATGTAAATAATTTGGTTTATGCTGTTTTATCATTTCTTTTGCACAATCTGTTTTATTGTTAAAACCAAATCTGCAACACTGCATGGTTACGTTTCAGTGAGACCAGCTTATTAAAAACAAGAAAATCAAAATATGATATATAAAGCCAGATTGGGTGGCTCGGTGGTTAGCATTGCTGCCTCACAGCGCCAGGGACCTGGTAGAGTTTTAACTAAACATGTCTGATTCCAAATGGAATTAGAGAGTTCAGATGCCTGATGACTGGCATAGACTTGCTGGACCGAAGGTCCTCCTTCTGTACTGTAACATTCTATATGACTCTAAAGAAGCTTGTTAAAATCTGCCTCTCCAATCTAAGTTTTGACAATCTTTCAAATGCTGCTTTATGAAACTCGTGTGAAGTACTTTGGGATGTTTTATGATGTTAAATGTATTATAGAAATACAAATTGTTCCTGTTTCACAACAATCAGTTTGTGCAAAGTAAAATCCATGAACAGCAATCAGATAAGTGACTGGTTCCACATTATGGAGCTGGAAACAATTAGGACTGCTGGTATATTTAGTCAGTTTAGCTATGTCTCCTAAATCCACAGTTTCATCTCTCACTGACCTGTGAAGTATGACAAAGTGATCGAGACAGTCAGAATGACTCAAAGTAGAATTTCTGAAGCAGGAATGGTAAATATTTTATCCCCCAAGAGTCTGCAATCCCTCAATCACTGATAGCACTGGGGAAATCTTTGTCTGATTTGATGTGTCTCAGGAGAGCTGTCACTGGAGTGATGGTGATGCTGTACCAACGATATCCTGGAATCTTTAATTTATAGTTTTTACTAATCCTTTAATTATTGTTATGAATTAGATGTTCAGAAATCAAGATTCCAAGCAGAAAAAACTGTGGTCTTCAGTTTAAACTAAAATAGAGAAAAACAATTCATTCAGCACCATGTAGCACTCACAAGATATACTGCAGTAATTCAGCAGGCCTCGTACCAGGACTCCTTCATTGATACCTTCCAAATCAGTGACCACTACAACTTAGAAAAACAAAGGCAACAATGCACAGGAACACAACGAACTGAAAGTTCCTGCCCAAATCACTCCTCATCCTGAATTGATGGTACAGACTCCACAACACAAACAACCTCCTCTTTACTGTACGGTTCTATGATACACCACTGTTCCTTCACTGCTACTTGAGTCAAACCCTAGAAATCCTTTCCTAACAATATTGTGGTTGTATGTACACCCCAACAGTTGCAGGAGTTCAACAAGACAGCTCACCACCACACAGTCCAGGACAACCATCAATGGAACATAAATGCTGGTCTAGCCAGCAACACCCACATCCCATGAACGAATAAAACAAACACTCAGGCTTTGAAATAACAAGGTGTAGAGCTGGACGAACACAGCAGGTCAAGCAGCATCA